CTGGTCCTTCTGCTGAGTAAAAAAGGAGCCTGTGGTGAGTTGCTCACATATAGGCATCAATGTTTAGCTAAGGTGATACTGCACAGGTGCTTATATAAGCATGGACCCCCTGTTTTAAAACAAGGACTATCTGTGATGCTGCATTTTGCATAATGTCCCATCACTCAAGTAGAGCACTTAACAAGCTCAAAGAGGACCCAGATCAGGTCCATCCAAGGTGACTCAAGGACTGTGCTGCCTGGTTTCTGGTCTTACATGGAAATATCTTCCCAGCAGCTCAGAGCATGGTGTCTTGTGTTGAAGCTTGAGGAAGCATTCAGTAGGAAAAAAAAATTGCTGATAGGAAGGTGAATACAATATCCATACAGGATAGGAACCATTTTTGGGTGTCACAGAACACTCGATGGTTTGACAGCTTTCTACTGGCAAACATACAGTGTTGGAGGCATCCACAGCAGTGTGCTTCTCCAGGTGGTCTCAGAACTGAATCACACCAGTTTTTGGAATGGATCTTCAGTTTTATTTCCTCCAAAAGGATCTGAGGTCTGGTGCACAACAGCTGCTGTGGGAAACCAATCACACAGTGAATGGAGAGGGTTTGCTCCAAAACTACATTATTTCTCCAAATTGCTAATTTATACTTAAGACAATGAGGAGCATGTTCTAAATGTAGCAAAAGAAATATTCAAGCTAAAAGACAAATGAGGTAATATTTTTATTTCTCAGATTGACTCTGTGAAATCATGGGTTATTGTCATGTGGAAGCTTAGAGCAGACTGTCCTAAATATTCCTTTAAATATATGGAGTTTTGGACTATGCTTTATTCAAAGACTTGGGTCAATTCTTAGGCTATCCAAATTATGCTACTGTTGACTTCACTACTTCCAACTTCTAAGTTTCTTAAACTATTAACAGAGAGCCCACAGAGGTAGAAAAGACAGACTTGCCTTTCCAGGAGCATTTCTGAAACACAGAATGTCCACATTTCAGGCAAAGCTGGTTTTCTAGGCTCTGATCCAAATCTGTGAGAGCATGTTACCAGGAGTCCAGTAAGACAACCAATTTCCTCACATGAAGTAGGATGTTACAAGCAGAGAAAATATTCCATGTACAAACAAACCATCAAAGTGTAAAGATTAAAGTACACAGTTTTTACAAGATGAAAGACAGTTTAATAGACATTACTCTAGCAGCAGGTCAGCTAGGTCAGAGCAGAATGTTAAATCCTGCAATCCATGAGGTATTTTAAGGAGAAAGGAACCAGACAGCACTGAAGATGACTCACTTGTATAGGAATAAAGACCAACAGAACCAGCCCACTTCTGTGATCCATGAAAAGTTAATTCACATTTTATAAAAAAAGTGTTAAAAAAAAAAGCTTACAGATAAAATCAAGAGAATCAGCCAGAGATTGGAAAATCAACATTTCTGGAATTGCTACTCAGAGCAAATTTCCAGTTGAGGCAACATAGACATTTTCTTCGGACATATAATAGATGCTTATGTAAATATTGTGAGTCATTTTAGGGGAATTATACAAATACGAACTTCCTATACAGTAGAACATATGTAGATCCTTTTCATGTAATTATTTTAGATGAGTCCTTACTTCATTTCACCCTGTTATCACATGGTAGTTACCAATTCAGGTACAGCTGAATGCCTGAAAAATGTAGACAGTACTGCAAACCTGACTAATTGAGAAATATCTGAGATACTAAGTTCATAACCATCAAAAATATAAAGGCTGCTAATTGGGAAAACGTGTGATATGCTTGAATGAAGTGCTGACCATGTCAAGAGTGGGGATAGGATGAAGTGGTAAGGGAAAGAGTTTGCCTGGAAGTTATCACAGAGCTAACAGCGACTGATTCACTATGCTAGCAGGGAAAAGCTAAGCACTGTGTGGGATAAAATGCTGAAGCACAGAAATATACCACAACTTTCATGTCAATGTCCCAGTGAAGAAGCCTCCTCCTTCTTGCATGCAAGGATGAGGTGTTATTTAGTCCTAGGTACAGAAACGATTATAACACGTTTAACTTCCCCTGTCACGTTACAGTGCGTGAGTTTCCGCAGGATGCTGGAGGAGGCCATGTGCTCTCCCAAGAGAAACATTAGTCTGATCACCTCCTTGCTCCACCCTAATCCCTTTCTCAGCAGATTTAGTCACCTCACGTATGCAAGCAGTGAAGCTGCAGGAAATGAGCTTCGGCTGGTCCCACATAGGTTTCCACAGCTCCTGTTCACTTCCATGCTGATCTGGCTTTGCTGCCAGCTGTAGCCAACCTGGCTCAGAAGTCCTATATGCTGTAATCACACTTCCTACTGTCACTGATACACACAGAGTTTAGGGAGAACCTTTCACTTGCTGTGGTGGCTGTAACATAGCTCCTGTGAGGAGGTTAGCTCAGGTCAGAAAATCACACCCTTACACTTGACCCTCCCTTAACCTCCACCATATCCTTCTGGGTAGCAAGCCCCTGCCCTTGAGACTGTTGTCAATCTGCCTTTTCTTTCCTGAAAACTTCCTTTAGCTTGGGGCTACAATTCCTGCTTACACAGAATCTTGCAGAGAACTCAACCTCTACTTTTAAGCTATTGCTCAAAACTTCTAGTTTTCTCCTGGCAAACTAGGGCTTAGATGCCTGCAAAGGAATTCAGGAGAAGTATGCCTGAGTCCTACGAATCCTGGGTGGCAGTAAGCCCTCTTCTGTACTACTCTGAATCAACAAAGTCACATTTTTGTGGGATATTATGACAACACTTCAGTGGCTTCAGAAAAACAGCAAGCTAGTGCAGGATCTGGCCCACCCTTCCACAAGTACTCCCTCATGAGGAATAGTCTGTTTGGCTGAGCAAATCCTCCTCAGTGTCTCAGGAAAACTTGGATATATGTATCAATTAGATCCATTAGATTCAACCTCTGCAGGCATCACACTAGCACATGAAGGTTCTCTCTCCGAACTGCTTAATAAGCAAAAGAAACCTCAGCTTCGAGGTAGTACACGTTAAAATATGTTAGGCAGGTGCTGAAGGACCTCACTTGTAAAGCCTACAGTGAAACAGGTACCTGTGTGCTGAGATGCAGTACTTTACTAGAAATACTCAGTAAGATATGGCTCTCCACAATATCAGTTAAGTGCAATACCTACTCCACAGTCACATCCAAACTTGGATGCTGCTCCCCTTGTTTAAAAACAAGCAGAGCTTCTGGTCCAATTCAACGAAGTTACCAAACTTGCTGTGAGGGAAAACATGAATGTAGCTGGTGAATCAGCACAGGACACTTTCTGGGTGAGGCAGGCATAGATTTTAAATGTCATCCTCCAACACACCCAACTGATTTACAGTTAGGTTTTCCAAAAGGGAGTAGTTTAGCTAGTACTAGCTATCTTTAGGCTAGCAAAATCTACAGGCTCAAAGGAGATACCCTTTCTTTTTTTTTTTAATAAAAGACAGTTTCTCACAGACCATACAACTGGGACATGACTAAATGAACAATTCCCTCCTTGACACCACAGTTCACAACTGGCACAATGATTCTTTACTAGGTATCCAAACACTTCTGAATAATATAATTTATTGAAAATATTTTGAAAATACATTTGCACATTATAGACAATCTTAGGAAATTCTTCACTTTTCACAAAGCAGTGGCCGGTGTCTCTCACTGGGGAAGACACACAGTGACATCAATTCTGTCAATAACTATTTCTAAGGCACGCATTTGTAAACTACTTTAGAAAAGTACTGCCATAGGAATACATTTTATATTTCACCACCATTAAGGCTTCTTTTAGTGAAGAGATAAACTGGCTGTGTAACCTGAGATTTCCTAGAGCAATGCAAAGCTTCAAACTTGATGTTTTACAAAGCTGTAATAAGGGACATGGTGCTTTTTAATTTTGTGCAGATATTTAATTTTTGATTAATTTTTAAAAAGTCATTTTGCCCAAAACCAAAATGAAACACAACACTCAGAATTCAGAATTTTTTTTTATAGGAAAGTGCGTTCCAGGCATCTGGAGCCCATCAGTTACATAGCTCAGGTCCAGCTTCTGCGACAGGTCTGACGATGCCCCACTGCTAATGGGATCCAGCCTTACACCCAGTACAGCACCTCCCACCTTCTCTTCTGTCTCAGTGATTCAGGCTCCAGTCCTGGCTTTGCAGGGCTGCTTGCAGTTGCTTGCATGCAGTGGAAGAACTTGTGATTTTTAAATTGAAACACATCATTGTATTCTATTGGGGAATAAGTGCTGTGACAATGGAGTGGTCACTGGATGCAGAAAAACAAGGGTGAACCTTACTTAATTCACTTTATACTCATTTACTGAAATTAACTGAGTGTTACAGAGCTGGATCCTAGAAAACACTCCAAGTTTGTGACTGGTTCTTCTACAACTTTCACGCAAGTGTTCAATATGATTGTATTTACTTTCTCTCTTACAAAATACAAATACAAAACCAGCTTCTAATATCGCTTCTGTAATTTTGCAGGTCAGTATTACCAGACTTCCACGAGAAATAGAGCAAATCAACTTATGTGGAATCAAAACACTTATAAGAGCAAAGTGAAAAAATGTGTATCCAACATTAATTATTACAATCACAAAGAGCTGAAATATAGCAATGATTTTTCATTTGTACATATTGAACAGCAAAAAAAGTTAAAAAAAAAAAATATATATACAAGCTTAACAGGGAAACAAATCTGAAACAGTTTTCTACTGGTCAAGAATAAGACAATTTTCCCTTAAATGTTTTAGTGCATTCCCTCTCACTCCCAAGAACTAATGCGTTTTTGTATTCCCGTTCTAAGGCAAATTGAAACCAGTCAAATCTTTCTTCAAATCAAGAACAGCTGTGAACTAGTGAATTAACACATATTCACCTGAGATCACTCTGAAATATAGAACAAGATCAATAATGATTAACAGCTAAGGTGCACACCTGTTTTGTAACTTTTAAAGAGAAACAGCATTTACACAGAACAGTTTTTGCTACAGGACAGGTGAACTGTCATCTGTAACGAGAATTATTGAAAGCCATAGAGGAGGAGACAGTATGAGAACTGTAAGCAGCTTACTCTTCTACTTTCTTCTATTCAATATTGTACTGTTCCCAAGTTTCTGTAACATAAAAAGAGGGAGGGGAAGAAAAAATAAATGTAAAAAAATCAATGATTAAAAATATTTTCTCTGTAACTCAGTTTATTTCATACTTATGTAATTTTCACTCAAATCTGTTGAGTGACTCCAAAGTAGTCCTATAGTAAATACTAAAGTAGATTCATTTCATCTGCTTCAAACAGCACAAAACAAACCCATAAAGCTAAATATAGTCTACATGTGTACCCAGCTCTGATTAATGGGTAGAATTAACCACGAGATAAAAATAAATGAACCAATGCTTCTATCCTTCTTTTATATCCAGATTTAGTTTTTTAGTCCTTTCTAGAGTAATTCTGTTGAATACAACTGGTATCCACTAGCGACACCTTCAAACAAAATCAGCCTGACTACTGATAACCACTTAAAAGCATCACAAAAGTATATTCATGCACACATTGAACAAGTCAGAGCTGCAACAGTAAACAGAGAACTACCATTCATAAATTACATTGAGCAAAGTAAGGACAAAGCTAAAGGGGCTGTCCTGTACTTTGTGGTGGTCTCCAGAAACAGAACCATTGTGATGTTTGGAGGTGGAAAGGATCCAGGCAAGAGTGAAAAGGAACATTTTGCTTACTTATTTCTTGGTCATTTTAGGACATGCACCAGTACTGTATCGATATGTACCAGGTCCTGAAATCATTTAACATTCTGTTCTCTGCTCTCACGATTTTGAGATGGATTATTATTTTTAACATGTGGTACATGAGATGGAAAAAGAAGTAAACTGAAAATCCCAGAAGAAACTCAGGCTGCAGCTAAGGACTGAACTCCAATTTCTAGCATCTCATGCCTGTACTTCAATCAGGAGATCATCAGGCAGAAATGCATCATTCATGTGTAGCCTTAATTGTCTGTTTGGCACAGCTGTTTAATGACTACACCACGTGAGAGGAATAAAATCAGAGGGGAAAGTTGTGTTGTGCTTACAGAAGTGCTCAGAAAAACATGAATCAGAGTGCCATACCAGTCACAGCTCTCATGAATCTGCACAGTGAAAATACAGTAAGGCTAAGTTTCAAACTTGGATCCTGCAGAGATCAGGTGTGTCATACTGAAATTAAATTTATGACTACCATATTTACAGGTTAATAAATAACTGATCCAACACCAGTCTGGCAAAGCCTATGGCAAACAAAGCTATGATTTTATAAAACTTGTTTGTATCTCTATCACTCTGCAGATTAAATCCAAGTACTTATGTTGGGATGTCTTTGTGGTACCAATGCATCAAATGCAAATAAAGGTGAATATTAATGCAAAATAAAAAGTCATGTCTACATAGTATACTCAAAGTGATTCCAACTTGCAAACTGAAGTAATAAAAAAATAAGACATAATTTAAAAATGTATTTTCAACATATCTTCAAACAGTAACACAGCTTGATTTTGTATAGCATCCTACCTATAAGTTGTACTCAAAACACTTAGCAGACTTTAATATCACAATTACAGAGTTAAGCAGCAGAAGAGGAAAACAAGTGCTACAGGCAAGAAAGAAGACATAACCTCTCAGATGGGATTTGAAACAAAAGGGAGAATTAAGTTAACTTTGTCTCCTGTTTTAAGTCTAGAAGAAATAAGTACCATAAAGTAGCATCAAAATGAATCACTTTACCTCAACAGCATCATCCATTTCTGTAATCTCATACAATCGTTTCAGCTTGTGCCAGGATTAGGAAACTCTTTTTCTGGAGAACTGTCATCACTTAGGTCACTGTAGCTGTCGCTGTTAGAAGCAATATGCATTTAGAAGGATCTAAACCAAATATTTTATTTCAAACCCTCCAACCCATGATGCATATGATCAACACTTTCCTCAAATGCAACCCATTTCCAGAAAACTTATTTAAGCTCATGCTTTAAATATTGTATTTTAGAACACCTTTCTCTAAAGGAATGGGCTTAAGTTTGGAGTTTAAGACCTGACAAGAAAAAATATTCTACAAAATAAACAGTATGCTCAATTTCTTTTTGCTTGGATCCTGTACATTCATTCTACAGTTTGCTAGTGCTGTGTGTCTACAATCATGATTAACAACATGGAGAATAACAGGTATTCAGAGCAAGAATAAAAGGAATTTCTCCTTTACGATAATCATTGTTTTGACCAAAGAAAAAGTTAAGACAACTTTATTTACTCAGAATTCTTCAACTAACACTTAAATTACAATTTTTGTTCTTCCAGTCAGAACATAAATCATTTTCATTGCACCAATCAATATCCTGACAGTTTTTCCTAAGGTTTTATCCCCTTCTGCTGTTTCCTGAGAGAAGCATATTGGTTTTCACAGAACAAACAGCCATGCAAGTGATTGTTTTGTAAGTGGCCAGAACAGGGAAACAGTGAAGAACAGGAATCACCACAGCAACTGAGAGAAATAAGTGCCCACCAACCACATTTTCAGTCAGCTGTGAAGTCTGTTGGGTCTCCAGGTTTATCTTAACTTTAAGTACACTTCAGAAGTGCCTCCAGCGTCAACCTACCCCTACCATACTTCATTTCTGCATTCTGCTTTCCATATATTTGAATTTCCTAAGATCAGAAGCCAGCAAAGGGAGCCCAGGGAACTCACAAGTATATTTGAGCAGCAGTAATTCTGATCAGTCCCGTGCCAATTCAGAGTGTAGGTTATGGTTAACACAGTACGGGTGGGGATCTCAGACCTCACACAGCTTTGGGTACCAACTCTACACCAGCCTCTGCACACCTGTCTTGTCACATCTCGCTTTTACCACATACACCTTCATCCTCCAGCCAACAGGACCTCAGTCAGGTCATGCTCCCCACCTAGGGGCAGATCTCCTTCTGAGACATCAAGAACGTAAGGAGCCCATGACTCACCTAGACACAGCCTTATCCGTGGATCCCCAGGGACTGCCTGCTGGGTAATGTTTCAAGGGGAACTATGTAGCTTCACAGCTAGAGATCTTTGATCAAGACTGCAATGTGGAACAGTGAACAAACTGCACTCAGTTATACCAGTGCTTGTTATTGAGCACTGCTTTGTTGCCTGAATTTCATTGTCTCTTCTTTGAGTGAAAAGAAAAACCAAGAAAGAACAAGTAAAAAACCAGCCTTTTAATAGCGTGGGACAGGCGGAGTGGCACCAGCAGTCATCTCATTTCATTTCCACCTCTGACTGTTAAGAAAGCCTCCCACAGTTACAGCAAGTCACTGTACCAAGTTTTGTATAAGACAGCATATCTATTCTGGCTGTCCTAACATTAAGATTTTGCCTACAGCACTTTGCCCTTTCTTTGCATGACACACATGCTGCTGATGTGGTTCTTACAAAGAGCGTGTCATATCAGCCTAGTGTGAAATGCTCAATTTGATCATTTCACCAGCTGGCAATCAATTACACAGTTCAAGTGAGGAAAGTGTTGTTAACAGTATGATCAAGCATGCCAGATGCACAGAGACAAACACAACATCACCGACGTTGTACTTACTTTTTTCTGAAAGTACCCATGGAAACATGGAACAGAAATTCAGTATTATTAAACAGTTTCGTATTTTCACATCACAGCAAAATAGCAAATACCATCCACAGAACAGAGTAAAATTGTGATTGCAGAGAGCTGTGTAATCTTATGACTGCCCTGATTTAAGACCAAAGTCTTCAGAGAACTTCTTTTTTAAATTAGCTCTGCTGCCCAGTGACAGTCACAGCTGTAAAACATGCCAGAGCTCTGTGTACAACACAATATGGGAGTCAGATGCTTAAGGAAAAATGCTCAGGGATCAGTGAAGTGGGTGGAGAACTGCCAAGCTTCATCTCTTGAAGGCAGGTAGGTGCTGATTCCCACCCAGCACTCTCCTCCTAGGTCCTCCGCCACCCAAGGTCACAGATTTTAAAGGCATATGCCCATCGAAGCAGTCACATCGCACCAGATGCTTCCATCATTTCCCTGACTTGCCTCCCCAACTTCTCAAGCCTGTTCCCAGTTTGCAGAAATTAATTAGTAATTATCTTAGGCAGTAACCTGACACCCCCTTCATCTTCTTGGTAACAATTCTTATAACAATGGAGTCTAACAAAAAGCAGCTACTGAGAAGATCTAAGGCCACTAGATAGAACATCTAACCCCAGCAGCTGTATTCCTTTTTTTTGTTTTTGTGAGACTTGCAGTATAAGGAAGTGGCCAAGGAAAAAAAAACCATAACAAAACTCAAGAGTGTGCAGTGTCACTGCACTTAGTCAGTCAGTCACTTTAGTCTTTACAATAAAGAATTTTGGTCACTTTGATCCTTACACCTAATCTAGCTGTAGTTAATGGAAATACATTCACTGCACAGTAAAATATTAACCAGTACCTAGCTGGTATTTCCCTTTGCAGTTAACTAATGTGAAACCCCTTAAGTTAACGCGGAACACCTCCTAGTACCTAGCTGGCATTTCACTTTGCAGTGAACTGCAACATATTTCCTGACCTGAGCAAAGAAAACATCCTTTGTTGAGAAATTACATTACAGGGTTTTGTTTTGAAGTTCACTCATCCTCAGATCGCTGTCTTCTCAAGATGTAAGCAATAAAAAGAGCTTTCCCCTGCTTGTGCAATATTATCAAATTAATTCCCCTTGTAGATCTTGCTTTTCTACTGAGAGAAGCATCATCATCCCCCTGCTATTCATCAGTCTAAAGCATGGAAGGAAGCAAGATGAGAAGATTCCCTATTGGTATGGTATAGAAGGCAGCTGACTGCTGGGGCCATATGACATGTAGCTGGAATGCATCACCTCAGCTGCAAAATCACTAGAATTAAGACTCAAGATCAATTTTAAACCTATATCTTCCAAACAGCTGCTCAAAAGGACCACACTGCCTGCTTTCAATGTTTTTATTAAGAAACACCGGCAACTGTAAAATGGGTACTCCTTGAACATTCTACTTGTTTCCCTTGGAAAATCCACATTCTTTAGAAACAAAGTATTTGACAGTTTCAGAGGACCTTTTTTTTTCTTTTTTTTTTAATGTAAAATTGACAAAAAACTCATTTTCCAGAAATGTAAGCAATTTAAACAATTGTTACAGTAATGCTATGCCCTGCAAAGGCAGGAGCCAAGCTAAATGCATTTCTTTCTCAGTGCAAATTAAAGATAAATGTAATTAGATTTAGTACAGGCTGTGGTTGTTTAAAACAAACAATTGTTTAGCTTTCAAGAACCCAGCAAAAGGAAATCTGTTAATTATTATCATTTATTTCCTCCCCAAAAAGCTGAATTATTAAAGATATTATAGTCATTAAAACATTACTTAGAATAAATGCATATTTGATTGTGCAATGGTTATAACTGCAGTCACCCATATGCAGTGCACATTTCTATGATCATTATATGGTCAAAAAAATTATATAACATTTATTATGATGATCATCATTATACAATCCTATGCTTCAACAAAACATCATTTCATTAAGGAATCCCTCAGGACATACCTGAGTCCTCAGTCCCAATCTGCCAGACACCTGCACTCACATAACTGGACCTAGGATAACATCTTCATCTGAGATACTTACCACCAGCTTCTTACAATCAGTGGAGAGAAACAGGCACTTGCAGCACATAATGTGTACGTGACCCACATAAAAATTATAATGAGCTATTTGGCTCCTTGAAGTGCATTTTCATTTAATGACTACAGAAAAAGACTTGAGGTGACTAGCTCAGAAGGGTCTTCACTGTAAACATCTAACACTTAAATGACAAAGTAATTGACTTAACTAACCATTTCTAAGTGCCACTATGGTTAAGAGAAGATTTCCTTTAAAACTCTTCCATAGTTTTCTGTAAGAGCACTGAGGGTAACAAGAGGTCTTTGCTGCCTGGACCATCTTCACTTGGGGCCTTCCCCAGTGGTGACAGTCACTGAAGCCAGACCCCTTGCCTTCTCCTAAAGTACTGACTCCTGCCAGTCCTCTCCCTACCAGGACAGCTGCCACCCGGGCTCCTGGATTGTCATCTTTTGTGGAGCAACCCCTCTCTTGCTGCTCTCTCGACAGTCTTCAAATCACATAATTTCTTTCACTTTAATCTGATATGTCTGGATTTGGCCAATGGCAGATGCTATGCCAGATGTGTTCTTGATTGGGGACAATGTACAGGGGACATCAGAGATAGCCCTGCCCATACTGCTTTCGTCTCTCATACCCCAGAACATGTCACACAGGTTCTTTTCTGTTCTGTTCACAGGTGCTCACCCAAACTTTCCTCCATAGCTGATTTGGGAGATAGCTGGACCTCACTCATGGCTAGGCTTCGCGAACGAAGATTTGGGAAGGGCTCTACCCACTATTCTTGCAAGCGCGTTGGTGGCTAAAAAGGCCAATACGGGAAAGGCAAGTCCGGTTGCAAAAGACACAGCAGAAAGACTCCTTAGATGGTATATTCTGCAAGGCTCGATTCTTTCTGCGTTGTCTTTTCTCCTCAAGAGTGATCCTGCGTGCTTTCTCAAAAGCATCAGCGGCGTTATAAATGGACTGTCTCCAGGCCTCCCGGTTAGAGGCCAGAGTAGACCAGTTATGGTGATCAATATGCCCAAGGCTGAGTTGTTGCTTCAGGGAGTCCTTGTATCTTTTCTTCGGAGCTCCTCTCTTGCGGCAGCCAGAGGCAAGTTCACCATAAAGCAGGATCTTAGGGAGGCGGTGGTCCTTCATCCTGGAGACGTGCCCTGCCCAGCGCAGTTGCGTTCTCAGTAGCATGGCCTCAATACTTGTGATTGCTGCCTGTTCAAGAACAGATGTATTGGTCACATAATCTGACCAGCGGATGTTCAGGATTGTGCGGAGGCAGCGTTGATGGAAGCGTTCTAGGAGACGCAGGTGGTGGCGGTAGATGACCCATGTTTCGGAACCATATAAAAGAGTAGACAGCACTATGGCTCTGTAGACACTGATCTTGGTACCTTTCTTCAAGTGTTTATTACGCCATACTCTTTTATGGAGTTTTCCAAAAGCACTATATGCCTTCGCTAACCTATTGTCTATCTCCCCGTCAATCTTACCATCTGAGGAGATGAGGCTGCCTAAGTAATTAAACTGTTGGACTGATTTGAGTTCTGATTGGCCGATGGTGATGTGGGGATGATGGAGGACTTCCTGAGGTGCAGGTTGATGGAGAACTTCTGTCTTCTTTAAGCTGACTTCCAGCCCAAAGAGCTCAGCAGCATCTGCAAAGCAGGATGTTAAACGCTGCAGAGCTGCTTCTGTATGAGCGACAAGGGCGGCGTCATCAGCATAAAGCAGGTCCCGGACAAGATGGTTCAGGGTCTTAGTGTGGGCCTTCAGTCGCCTTAGGTTGAATAGGCTTCCATCAGTACGATATCGAATGTAGATACCGTCCTGATCATCGAGGTCTGCCGTGGCCCTTTGGAGCATCATACTGAAAAAGATTGTGAATAAGGTAGGAGCGAGAACGCAGCCTTGTTTCACGCCGTTCTTTATTAGAAAGGGCTCAGAAAGTGTGTTGCCATATCTGACTTGGCCATGCTGATCTTCATGAAGTGAGGTGATCATTTTAAGGAACTTGGGGGGACAACCTAGACGTTCCAAAATCTGCCAAAGACCTTTTCTGCTCACAGTATCGAAAGCCTTGGTGAGGTCGACAAAGGTTACAAAGAGACCTTTGTTCTGTTCCCTACACTTCTCTTGCAGTTGTCTGAGAACAAAGATCATGTCTGTGGTGCTCCTGTTGGCTCTGAAGCCACACTGAGATTCAGGTAGAATTTCTTCTGCTATAGCGGGAATTAGTCTGTTCAGGAGTATTCTTGCCAAGATTTTGCCGATAGCTGGACCATGCTAGTGCAGTAAGCCCCGTATTTTCTGAGGTTTCTGGTGGTTTTCTTAATGCACCACTCCTTCTGTTCTCTGGCCACTTTTGTTCCTTGTCTCTGAACACAACCCATAAGTCATCTTTTATTAATAACCTGCCTGAAATTCAAGAGAGTACTCCGTGACGGCATTGGATTGGTGCCTCACATTAGTATATTCACTAATGATCTGTAAAAATTTCTTTTGGCAGTAGTCATAGCTGCCCACACTTTCTCACCTAGGAACATCTCTCACTTCCTACATTTTCTCCCATCTATTGAACATTTGTGTTTAAATTATTTATCTTCAGCTTTTTATCCTCTTCCTCCAAAGATGTCACTATATTCAGCACAGATTTCTAAATTCCCTACATACTTCTATGTTATTTCTTTGTTCTGAGTAATGCTTTCAGCCCTTATTTAAATGACATTATTTGCAAACATAATTAAATGCACTCTGGCTTACTCTTGCAGGCCATTAATAAAGGTGCAGGTTGAGGACAAAGAAGAAATAAAGCCTGCTGATGCTAAACTTGCTATGGGGAAAAAAACCCCCAAAACAAACCAGCAACACGGCTTTATTGTACATCAGTGATTCTGCAACCCATATTACACTGTTCCAAAAGATAAGCCAGTTTTTTTTATTTTTTCCAAATGAAACTATGTAAGACTCAGTAAAAGCCAACAACATTACATGTGAAGTTCCCCTCTTCATCCACTAGTTTTCTATTAAAACCTTCTGTTTTCTCTTACAAAGCAGTGTATTTGTGGGTATTGTATGCTTTGAGAGTCTCATGTGGATCTAGTCTTCTCTGTCCTTGAAAATGAAACATGTAAACTGGAAGCCTCCCACCTGTTTCACTTCTATATGAAATGGTGCCTTCAGTATTTCCATGGAAAGATGTGGAAAAGGTCATGATCTAAAACCATTCACAAGGAAATGAAGCGCATGGCTTTGTTTGATGGTTGGGCACTCATGGCATAAAGCATGAGAGGCTGAAACCACAAAGGCAACTTGGGTGCCCAACTACCACTTCAGGTAACTAAGAAATAGCTCATCACTGAGTTACTCTGATCCTTTGCTCCGTTCTTGACTGTCTCTGTACACACCAAAGCTTCTGGGAACTAAGTTTAAAACCCCTGAGGATACATTCCAGTCTCAAACCAGGTATGGTCATGCCTATTTGTGCTTATGTCTCTACCAGCCTAGGCCTCACAAAATTTTAAGAGAAGGTTTATTCACTTTTATTTATTTAGGGCACTCTCCTGGGAGTTGTAATGCATCTTCAAATTTACTACTTAGCTTTGCTTAGAAGCTACGGCTTCTGTTCAGGTGTCAGATGTTCTAAAATTGCACCCTAATTATGGGGCTGTTAAATGTTTTGGGGTAATAGTTTCCTGTTAAGACTCTCATGCTGAAATACATATTTCCTTTTGTCTCAGGACTTCATCATTACCTCTCCTTTTAGTGTTTATAATAGCCTGGTTTAGGTAATCTGTACAACTTGCTGATCTCAACAAATTCTCTTTCAGGTTACATCTTTGCTCTAGTCAACAGCATCACTACATGCAGGCAGTGCTAGATGAGTTGTGCAGAAAATCCTCTCCTCAGATTTGTTTCAGTCTTGCTATGACCTGCTTTAGCTTTACAGCTCAGTGAAATCACCAACATTCTGGGGTTTAAAGGTTTACTTTGGAAATCCTTTCCACTTAGCAGGTGGACATTTTAATATGAGTGGGTGTGCTGTAATTAGCAATGAAATTCTCTTCTGAACATTCTTCCCTGCAAAATGCTGCTCTTTTAGCCTCTAAATGTTTTTCTATTCCAGTGCTCTTTCTCAAGACACAGGGGTTTTGCTTGATTGCTGTAAATGGTAAAATCTGTAATTTTATATATAAGTGTTGGGGTATGAATGTCTTTGCTAAATGTTTAAGGTTTGGTTGGAGTTTATTGTATGAACATGAAGAAAAAGAGTTGTGTATACTTTTTAAATGATTAATTCAAACAAGTCTAAGTGTGGCACATTCAGTAATTGCCAAAAATTAAAGTCAAGTTTAGATAGCATAGATGCTATAATGCTAAGGGATTTAAATTAGCAGGACATGTACAGATCACTCATCCAAAAAAAAGTAATTTTTCTTTATCTCAGAGATAAATAGTTTTACCTATGGGATGAAGCAGTGTGAGAAAAGATACTGGGACCTCAGAAACAAGATCAAGAGTGAGGCAGAGGACTCACAAAGAGGGAAAGACAGAATATCACTGTGCTCAAAGACTGCCCCTTGCCAATCATCACAAAAATCTGACCTATGTATTGCATCAGCAGAGATTTTAAAAGGTAGTTAACATTATGACCACTAATTACAATGACAGGCTAAGGTAATAGGAATATTTCAATCAAGCTGTACTTTGCAGATCAGAAATAATAATTCTCTTTCTATGTACATTATTGCACAACTGGGCAGGATGAACAAAGATGAAACGCGTTTATAAAGTCAACTGATATACCCATAAAGGAGTAGGCTACCAAACCAGATTGGTCTGGTCTGGCTTGGCTATTTTCCATTACTACTCAAACCTGAATAAAATTTCTATTTCTCAACAAAATGACTTCATTTTAATAGAACACAACAATGGGGGGGGGGGGGAAGCAGCCCAACCCACAAAACTAATAAGTTTGGTGCCTTGATTAGAAGAAAAGTCAATATGCCAGAGTTGCATCAGTTCAGCATTACTATTCAGTCATTTTATGATTTTTTTTCATTTTTGTTATTGTGCCCTAAGTTTCCTTCTGACTGCTTTATTATTCCTATTACAATGAAATTGTAACTGTTATTAGTATCACTGAAATAAACAAGAATTAGTTAACACTGGCTAAAAAATACTGCTACATTCAATAAACCAAAACCTTTGTGTCCAAGACAATCAGGACAAAGAGTTTTAGTTTAGCTGAACCATCCAGTTTTGATCTAGATCCAAACCCTTCCATAAGTCTAAAGATCCCCCAACTGTTTTGTTTCAGGTCTGTCTCTGCAAGATAGTATTTATTATTTGGCTACTTCAAAATAAAATTAGTATTTTCTTTGTTATTGCTATCATCATTCAAATACAACTAGGTAAGAATTTCACTTCATTGCTTGATTCTCTAGCAAACCTCTTTCCCTAGGAAACTACTGTCAATGGAAGTTAGTACAGGAGGCCACCAACTTCACATGAATTTACTGAAGGTTTTTTACTTCTTTCTGATTATAATGGGGTTATGGCTTCATCCCTAATAGCTCCTGAAAAGGAGAAAGTCAGGAACTGTGTTTTCTGCTACAGGTTATTTTAGATCAGGGTTTATGACAGGCATGTACAGAAACAAGTAAATCAACACATGAAGAACTCTTCTTCCTCTTCTGGACTTCTGAATTGAAGGATGGGATAGTCCCTCCAAAAATGTGACTGTCAAACTGCAGGCAAGTAACAAAGAAAGATTACCTTGGAGACAATTTACATCCACGCTGAAGGTATGCATTGAGTGTCCCAGTTGCTGCTAGCAACAATCCAAGGTATGGAGGTGAAGGTTTCATAGGTCTTGAGGAAAATTCTGGGTGGAACTGAACTCCCACAAAATACGGGTGATCTACAAGATAGATGTCAAAGAAAATTACACTATGTAGGAAGAAGATACTAGAAAAACTTCAAGAAAAAAAGTATATTGAGGATTTCGGACAGGTGTCCAGAAGCCAGATCACTACATGTGAATTTAAAGGTAAGGCAGCAGGAAACTTAACTTTTTTTCCACAAAAAGCTATTGACAACAGAGGCAGAAAGTTAGTAAGGCAAATTAAGGAAACATCATCCTGTGATTTAAAAAACCTGAATAATAAACCTGCACCAACATGGGGGGGGAGGGGGCGGGGCACACGAAAGAACAGTCACAAAGTTACAATCACCATGTTATTTTCATCATAGTTTAGTTTCCAATATATATTTATGCATGTATATTCAGAACAATATGCTACTTCATCTTCTCTTAAATCTTCAGCTCTGTTTCTCACTCAGAGCACCCTTTTACTAGTGCTTTTGTTTCCCTTCTTTCTTCTTCAAAATTGTAAAAAAGAATGTTTCCATACTGAGCATCTGTTCCTTCTCTGAATATTGTTTTAACCAATTCTAGTGCCAGGACATTGGACAAAACTAGTTACAGACTTCCTCTGGTTCTACATTTTCCAAAATAATCCCAAACATTCAAGGAATTTCTCTGCAGCACAGAGTAGGTGGTAACAAGAAATCAAGGATTTTCTTCTAGGAAGATAAAACTATATGGTCTAGTATACAGTTCTTCTCTCTGCGGTTGTATCTTAAAGAGCAAATGGATCCTAGATTTATCTCATAACTTCAATGACAAAGCACTAAATAGTTCCAAAACCTAAAAGTTTTGCCTTTAAGCTATCTGGTGCACTGTTATTTCTGTGCTTCTGCTCCAACCCACCCTATTCCTTATGATGACTGTTTTTCTTTAGTAAACAGAGTCTCCTTGCAGCCCATTATGAAATAATTCCAGGTTTTACTGCTGCTTTTCTTCTTTTCACAGTAATATGCAATTTAAAAATTCTGCCTGATTTATTTCACGATGTTCTCTGTAGAAGTTGTTTGATGCAGGGCAAAGTAGCCTCCCAACACCAGCATGTGGAACAGAGGCAATCTGTCAGGAACAAACTAACCCAAGAACACCCCTGACCATTAGTAGTTTATGAATTCACATGTATCCTTTGCTCGCAGATTACTCTCTATGGTGCAGCTGCTTGACATTCCAAGTAGGTGTCTATATACCAAACCTGGTTCAAAATTACAACACACCGTGGAGTATATAAAATGAATTCTCAGGTGCATCATGCAACAAATAGCACTCCATAGGCTAATAATGTATTCTTATGATGAATTTTTGTTTCTATATATGGAGTTTCTCTTGACCAATGGCAATTAGGGGTCACATAAGAACAGAAAAGGAAAAAAATCTTGTAGAGTAGCCTGCATCTTCAGGTGCCTGATAGTTATCCAGCCAACAGTGACTTAAGAGCAAGGAGTTAACCAAATACACATGCAAAATCAAAAGGATGGTTTTGAAGAACTACTCTGTGTACCAGTGGAAAAACATATGCAGCGTAGGTCCTTTTTATTTCAGAATCTTTTAGAAAAGACATCGTCTTACTTAGCAAAATAGTCCAAACCTACTAAACTTCCAGAGTGTCACTCATCTCCGTGAATCACTTCCATGTAAGAAAGAAGCTTGCTTTGTAGTTAATTTTCACACAGTTTTTCAATGATTCTAACCAGCGGGTTGTGGGGTGAAGTTGTAGCCCCACAATTAAAGTTTGAGGTAGTGCAAAAGTTAGGCCGTGTTCCATGGGAGCAGTGGAGCTGGTTAGATGGTTTCCATGGACACGGCCTTGGGTTGCAGGGAGTACAAGGTTAAGACGGTTTGATAATGTGCAGGTGCTTGGATTCCTGGGTGTTGTTGTAGGAATATGTTTGTGTTGTGTGTGAAGTTGGCAAGCTCAATAAAGGCTGCCTGCTGCGCTGAGCGGGCAGACATCTCTTTGTCTCACTACCTTTACCGTGTCGTGTGTCTTTCTTCCCCCATGGACCAAGACCCCACGACAGTTACCCCCCTGCGACAGCGGGTAACTGAAAGAGACACAAAGTAACTGGAAGGCATCTGGGGAGGCCTCTATTCCTACCTTCCATTCAAAGCAGGGACAAGTTCAAAGTGAAATCAAGTTGCTGACAGTTTGTCTAGTCAAGCTCTGAAGGTCTCAATTGCAAGGATGCAGATTTCACAGCCTCTCTAGGTAATACACTCTAGTAATGGTTTATACTTTGGTTATATTGCATGTATACACATTTCACATACTCAAACAAACTGAACACATATTAGTTATTTGGACCTTACTAAGAATATTTAGGGTCCTTAGGGAGGCAGGGCAACGTCATTGTGAAGCTGATTTTTATCTTTACAAAGCCAAGGTGATCATGAGAGGTCCCTGATGACTACAAAAAGGCAGTTACCGTGCCCTTCTCCAAGACAAAAAGAAGGATCCAAGGAACCACAGAACAGTTAGTCTAACCTCAGTTTATGTCAAGATTATGAAACAAATCTTCCTCCAAGGCATTTCCAGACACATGGAGGACAGGAAGACAGTTTAGCACAAGCTAAAGAGAACAGTCTGTCTTCGGATGCAGGGAAAGCAGTAGTCTTCCTTAATTCTGACTTCGACAAGGCTTTTGATATGGTTTCCTAGCATCCAAGTTGGAACTTGTGACTATGGGTAGACCACAAAATGGCCAGACTGCTGCATTCAAAGAGTAGTAGTATACTTGGAGATACCCAAAACTTGACTGACCTATATTTGAATGTAGCCCTGTGTGGAAGCACAGGGTTGAACATACGACCTTCTAAATCACTGAATGATTCTACACAGCCAAATCCCCCTGAGCTAGAAATATGACCTTCTGGAAAAGGAGTATGATTGTCCCTAATAATCAAATACATGCACAACCCTTACAAAGTGTTAAGACTTTTCCTAACACACTCTTCATTTTCACCCATTGCAATACACAGATGGAGTCAGCAGTATCCCCCAACATGATCTTGGCTGTTATGACAGGTTAATATCGTATCTACACGTCATTTAACAACCTATAGTTTATACAGTTTTAACATGCAAAAAGTACTACAAACAAGACACTCACTCTCCAGTTCAATAATTTCCATTCTGTTCCCCTCCGTATCATGGCCAACAAATTTCAAACCTTTCTCTTCAAAGCAGTGAGTCAATTCTGGGTTCACCTGAAATATTGAAAATAATAATAATTGTTATTCTTGGATTTAACAAACAGTAGTAGTTAATAGTAATTTAGCATGCATACAAGAATGAAAAGAATTGGGAAAGGGTTGGGAACTCTAGCTTTCTTGTTTTAACAACTCTCCAGTATAAATTTATAAAAGTGTGCATGCTTATTAAATAAAGAGATGAATCAGTAAGTTACTATGCAACATTCAAAAGATTAAAGCCAGGGTCCCTTCTGCTTGCTGTCCTGATTCTGAGCAGCTTGCATTCCTCCTTTTTCCAGTGGCCCACTAGATTATGTGTAGAGACTAACCTCCCCTTTGAACACTGCATTTCAGTGGTTATGACACAAGCTGTGGTTCAGCTCCTCCTTCAAACTGAGGAGCTCTGCAGTGAGCTGTCTCATGTCCTCCATGATGCTCTAACCACTCATAGTTAATATTCCAACTTTGAGCACGTTTACCACCATTACATTTTCCCCCCGCATTTTAAGGAAACAACATTGTTTGAATCAGTTATAGCATGCACACATCCCATGGTTCAGGCCCTTCTTGAGACACTGATGGAGTAGGGCCCTTCTGAACTACCTCAGAAATAATTCTAGGAGTCCACCCCTTGTCCTTATGACAGTATTTGGAAAGTATTTGGACACCTTTTCCCACATATTTGCAAACAGAGGAGCGGACACATAACAAGGGACATACACAATTGGATGGTAGGAAGCAAGTGATGTGAACTAGCCTCTGAGTTGTAGATGTCTGAAGTCTGTCTACATTTAGACCATGAAAGAATATGCACTACCTAAACATAATCTAAGCCTTTAAATAAGCCAAACTGGCCAGTGCATTTAAGGATTACAAGCCTTTACCTTTCAAGTGTTTCACGAGAAACCAAGCCAGGTAATCTCTGATACAGCTCTCCAAGACCATTTTGCTAGACACTGCATCTTCTCCAACCCAGAAACAGTACCTGACATTATTCCCCTCTGTTGAACACTTCCAAGAACACCCCTGCAATACTGTGTCTACACTCAGGCTCCTCAATACAAGAAAGAGATTGAAAAAATGTTGAGAGCTCATAAGAAGTCCAACCAGAACGGTTAAAGGCTGGGCCACGTGCAACATGGGAGGAGAGACTGGACGAGCTGGATTTGTTCAGCCTAGGAAAGAGAAAGCCAAGAGCAGATCTCATGGCTGACTTCTACTATCTAACAGGACAGACTCTGCTCAGAGATGCACAGCACATGACTGAGACTAAACAGACAAACTGCTCAAGGAATTTTCCTGTTAGATACAAGGGCATTGGAACAAATTGTCAAGAGATGTTGTGGAAACTCTCTCTTGAAGGAGATTCAAAACAAGATGGAACAAAATCCTGAGTGGCATGATCTAATTTTAAAGTTGGCTCAACTCCAATCGGGAGCTGGACCAAAAGACTTTGAAAGGCTCCTTCCAATCTAAATTATACCATCTAACCACTACTAAATTTTGGTTTATGCTTGTGTAAGAAAACTCCCATCAGCTTTTTTCTGCCTACCAAGAGAAACATAGTTTGCTCAAGTTTTAACTTCTGAGCATAAAGTACATTAGCAGTGCTCACCTCATATCGATGCCTGTGTCGCTCCTCTACAAATGCTTCATCACCATAAAGCTTCCCTGAATATACAACAAAAAATAAATTTATGCTAATGTGTTGCTTTAATAGTTGTTACAACTATTTCTTGTAATTTAAACCTCAAAAAAGTCATATGTAAAACATAACAAGAAACTATTCATCTCACTCCAGCTTTCTGTCTTTCCTGAGTGATGACTAGTTTCTTTTAATTTACCATTACCTGAGTTTATTCAGGATTCCTATTCCTATTGACCAGAAATACCTTAGGCAGGCTAGAGACTAAAGGACATGCTTAAACTAATTTAAATTGTAAAGCTCAAAATAAAATTAAAAAATGTTTCAGCGAAAAAGCAATATAAAATTCCCTCAGGGTTTTACAACAGTGGTACACAAAACGTGCAGGGAAGGAAGGCTTTTAGTAGCATCTGTTCCATTTTAATAGATTATGCATGGCAGCTGGCGTAATACCTCCAAAGAACAAACAGAGAATATTGCTTTTTTCTGTTTTCCTGATCTCATTATCCAAATGTCTCTTGCAGTCCTCTGTGTAATCTGGAACACTCCAGATTTCACAGCAATAAGGAATAAGTTAGAGGTATGCAGTAAACCAGACTATAATCATATCTCTCACTTACAATCACGGCTCAGACTTTGCTCTCAATTTACCCCAAGGTCATCAGAATTACTACCTCACTGAGGGGTTGGTACAAGAACTAGACTGCCAAGAACATTTCCAAAAATTGCAGAGTGATAGTATTGCAATTTTACAAGAAGTGGTGCATGTGTTAATTTTAAGGAACCATCTCTTAAAAAACATTATTCCCATTCAAGTTGTAAAGCATTAGAAAGTCAAATCAGGTTTTCTGTAAAATATCAGAGTTTTTTATGGTTCTTTGATAAATCTTGTCATCTAAACAATTCATAATACTAGTCAAGAGTTACAACATTTGTTAATTTTTATTAACTTTTTAAAGTGTTTTGGCCACAGAACAACTTGTGCATATCTATATCACACTGAGGCAAAGTATCACCCAAGTCAGCAAGATCACCAGCATGAGCATTCTCTAGAAAGGCAGATTTTTCATTAAATGCGCACATGTATTACACTGTGGTCTCCTGCTGAAGTAGGTGTCATTTTAAAAAAGTTCAAAAGGATGCATTCCATAAGTTCAACATAACTAAATATAGGAATAGCTCAGATCAATGTCAAGGGCAGGGCAATATAAAAAATATGTAATCAATGGACAAGAAACTACTTTTTTCACATTTACAGTATCATTTATATTACTCCTGTATAATGGGCTGACTAATATGAGACAAGTATTACTTCAATTTCCCAAAATGAGACTGTTTCCAGGGTTGGGCTAGGCCTAGGGCAGTGCTGGATCAGAGACTGGTGTTAAGGAGGGCCTGGCTACTAGAGAACATTGTCAAGACAAGGTAAGGACCAAGGCAGCAAGGCCATAAGATGTTTAAGGCTGAGGTGCACTGGCAACTCTAGGGAAGCAACATTTAGGTCTGGGAAGAGCGTAAGGGGCAGGAGTTTGGGTTCGTTCTACCAAAAAGCTTCAGGGGTAGGATAAGAAGCCCCGGCTCACACATCTTATCAGCTCATAAAGAAAATAGGAAGAAAGCACTCTGATTTTCCCAAAAATATAATGAATTAAACTACCGTGAAATGTATTTCAGTTATCTCAACATTCTCCTCATTGTTTATTTGAAGCATTGGACTCTAACTGACAGTTTCACTGGGAATTACGGACATCTCCCATTTCTTTTTTACATTCCAGTCCTCAGTAAATGTATATGGGAACAGGATCAGAGTGAATGAGCTCAGGGAAGTTGTCACCCAACAGCTTGCTTGAGCTTATAGTACTTAAAAAAATGTGCTTTGACATTTTTGCTTTTCCATGTTACAGAGCTCCAATCCAAAGGGCAAGTCATAACAGGAGAAAAATTACTTACTTAAAACAGAATTTTCTGTTTTGAAAACAGTCCTCCTCTTCCCCAGTCTCATCGTTCCACCCATATCTCCAGGATTGTGTTCTGGCATGTCAATAACCTGTAGAGAAAAGTTGTTCAGACGTAGTTTCATCCACCAGATAAAAAACCCCCAAACAACAATTGCCTAACAGGTTGCATAGATTTGTAAAAGGCAACTTTATATAGTTTTCCGCCAAGCATTCCCAACTATTAATTCTCTTTGTTTTTCCTAATGCTTTGTTCTTCAATAATGGCACTGTAATAGACTGAATATATTAACTAATTGGTTATATAGACTTTTTCATTTAATGTTAAGATCAACAAAAGCAATTTACTAACCTCTTAATTTAATTTTGGGGTGGAAAAAACCCCTTTCTTTTAAAAAATATACCAAAATGTTAGCAATAGGATAATTCTGCCCAAAGCTATTCTTTGTGCTATGAGAGTATATAGATTTTCAAAAACTCAAATTCATAGACCAAAAATATCCACCAAGTGATAAAGACACCAGCTCTGAAAAAGCAAGTCCCTCAAACACACAATGTGAGACGCTGAAAGATTATCCTGGGTAAATATTTCTGTACACTCAGCTATTTCTTATATTATTCTTCATACACAATGTTCTTTCCTATGCTAAGAGCCAGAAACAATTGTTTTATCAAGTGAGAAGGTGACCTCTTTTTTTGGAAAGTGGGAAGAAGTGGAGGGCATGCAATAGCAGAGTGAAGACACTTGTAACAAGACTACAATTTTGTAAAAGCAGAGTATGAAAAGAGATGACTCCAATATGCATGTGTTAATTCAGATTACATATGTAACTGATTTATCACAGGGAAATGGAAAAGCCTACCCCCCAATTCACCTCTACTAAAGGGTTTCTCAGATTGCTGAAGAATTCACAAAATACTTTCTATGAAGTATGAAGAATATGCTATTTAACACAACATTTAAAGAAGAGAATATACAAATACTGGGTTTGAGGACCAAAGCAGATGAGTTGAATGAATGTTATGCAGGTCAAGTGAAACTCAGGACAGTGGGATTCAGGGGATTTGAGAAACCGCAGCTTAGTAGGAGTGCGTTTAGTTTTGTTCAGTTTGAAAAATCTTGCAGGGTCTCACAATGAAGTTTAGAGGAGGTCTGCCTCAGAGAATGGTAAAACAGTTCAAAATTGTAGAAATGTGAGCTGAAGCTTTGACCTACGTATTTGTATTCACATATACACAGTCAGTGAGGAATGTAATTGACAAAGAAAGGTTCTACAAATACAAATATTCACATATATGGGTAATCTGGAATTGGATTTTTATTAACCTTAATTTGCCCTCTGGGACTAATGAAAACAATTTCTGATGATACACTTCATAAAGTGAAGTTATTCAATTTAGGAGGGATGGTGGAAAGTGCTTAGCCTTTGGCCTTGTGCCAATGCATTTCAGCTGTGTAATTATCTCTGTATAACCTTATACCTTCAAAATGTTATTTATAAGCTATATACTCATTATAAAATGTAATGAGCATGAGTTGTGATCAAACCAGTGGGATATTACAAATCCTGTAATTACCTCTCAGATCACAAAGGTGAGGACTGTGAAGCACATTCAGCTAAAAAAAAAACCCATGAATTCAGAAAATAAAAAAGCATTCATTGAGTCCTTATTACTTTAAAAAATATTAATCAACTGATTTTATTTCCTTCCCTTTACTTTTGGTTTTTTCCCCAAAGCAGTGGCCACAAAAAAACACAAGATATCAGAAGCAGTAAGAATGTATACATCAGACTGTGTGTATATGTCAAACACTCTGACCCTATGAAATCAAATACAAGTTTTCCTTGAGGTGTTATTTACTTACCTACACCCATACTACAGATAACCTCAAAGATGTGCTACTGGCTCTTATTAAAAGAAGATGAAGTGGTAAAAAGCAGTTATTGAGTATTTCAAGTATATGCTTCTCTTCCAATTACAAAATTTTCACTTTAAAGGCTGTTTAATGAGTATTTGCAGTTGACAAGAAAAGCAGTGAGGTGGGTTTCTTTGTTTGTTAGTTTGGGTTTTCTTAAGTTTGGAGGCTAATGTCAAGATTAGACATTCCTTCACTCTCAAAAGTGTATCAAGCAGCTGAACGCTGTCCTCCACCATCAGTTTTAGATTTTAATTCCTAAAAATTTGGGGTATGATGTTTTGGTCTAATTTTGCTAACTGCATAATGGTAACACCCAGCTGTTTGGGGTTCACCCCTTCTCTTGCTCAGGGGAAAAAAAAAAAAAGAAAGTCACTATTTTCCCCTTTCAGTATTTGCTGTACTAAGATTCTATCAAAACACTTCAAAGTGTAATGCCATAAACAGAAGGAAACATGGCAATACAATAAAGTGAATGGGACAATAACTTCTTGAAGGACACTGCTCAGCTCTTTAAACTCCTCAATCAAAACACTGGCTCCAAATGCAGTGGACCTGTCCATGCAGTCCTTAGCAGACTTCACTAGTTTACTGCACTTAAATGGATTCAGAAACATCAATTAACATATATATGGTTTCCTGTTCATTAAATAGAACATATCAGTTTAAACAGGTCATGGCCATACTCTCAGCTCTTCCTTCTTTCAGTGGGCAAAAAAACAAAGACTGAATTCATGTGAGCCCCACTAAAGCTCTAGATAATGGTCTGGAATGAAAACACAATTGCATCTGCTCTGCTGAGGGCTTCTGTCACCCTTTGGGTCAGAACCTGACATGAGGCTGCAAGTCCTATAAAAATTCCACTGGAGAAATGGCCTTTCAGGGAAGATTCAGATGACTTTCAACATCAACTAATTGCGTGTGTTTTCATCTTTTCATCTTCCCCCAAATTGTTAGATTTACAATAATAAGAAATACACAAGGCTTAAAATAATAATTTTTTTATTTGTCAAGTGAGGAAAGGAGCTACTTATGAAATAATACCTCAGACCTACTGTGACTCTGGATCTTCCTTTTTGATATACTCTGTGGCTTGGATGAACTTCAGCAACTATTACAGCACATCCCTCAGTGTTTGTATATTACACAAATTTCACTGCAATAAAGTCTGTGCAAGAAGTTTTTGACACCAAAGTGGCACTGCTGCTCTACAGCCCAAGAACAGTAGGAGAATCAGAAAGGCAACTCATATGAATGAAAATTTTTGACATATTTTACAGAACTTGTTTGATCAGAAAAACATAAACTTTCAAGTTGTGGACATTTTGAACAACTGTGAAACTGAATAGATTTTTCAAAGAGCTTATGCTTCCTGACACAGAATAAATCTGTTCTTACTAAGCATTATTCTTACTATTCTTTGAAAACTGCCAACACTACAGGGACTTTACAGAGATCATGTCTTACACCAGACAGCCAACATGAAATAAATAATGAATTACTGTAACATAACACAAAGCATGTTCTAAATATAAAACGGTCTGATCAGTATTAAATCATTTTACTGAACAACAGTGACTTCAACTACCCATGAACGGCAATCTTCTTTCAGAAATCTACTGCTTGGATTGTTTTACTGTTGTTAGAAAACATATAAAAGCTAATTAGAAAACCTTTCAAGCCCTGACACTCAACACAGAGCAACCAAAGCCCTGAAATCCCCACACCTATCATTTTAGCAATCATCCCAGGACCATTACGTTTTATCTTTGTTTTGCCTCATGTCCTGCAATGCCATTTTGAGAAATACATTTACCCTGGTTACCTTGGCAGAAGGAAGGTAGAGAGTGGGGAGTGTCTGGTTGGGTTTTCTTTGTAGGCTTCTTTTTTTGGGAGTGGGGGAAGGAGGGGAGCATTACTTGATTTGAACAACTCACTGGTAAGACAGCTTTGAAAACACATTTTTATGAGGGTTTTTTATTTGTCTTTTTACTCTGCCCTTGACTGGTGAGCAAAAGATTTGTGACTGCTGAAATAAATTGCTACACATGTAAGTTCTGATCAAAGCATTAGGAGATGCTAAGACCCTAAAGATTAACTGAATACTGAAAAGAGGCTCTAAGACACCTGGCACACAAGAGATGTGCAGAGGGAAAGTTGACAATGTGAGTAGGGAATACAGTGACAGGTAATGATGAATACCAACCCCTGCTGAACATGACTATGAAAAAAAAAAACCACAGCACCATAAACTGTCAATGACTCAACCCAAACTTAAGGAACTTATCCTTTTATGGGCTCTTCCATCATTTCTCTGCAGGATTAGTCAGTACTTGTTACATTTGATCTGATCAATCAATGACAAGTTTATGAGTAAAAAGACCCAGAGACTTACAAATAGGATGTTTGTACTAAGATTTTAGAAACAATAGTACAAACATTTTAAAGAAAAAGTTGACAGATGCAACACTAAGAGCTGTGCTGAGAACTTCCAACTTGGCAAGTAAACCAAAAACATACACTTTCCCTTTTCATTAATAAAACAGGTTTTAACATTTTCAATTACTGAAAGAGGGTGCAAGGATTACATCTGTCTGAATCGCTTGCTCCCTTTTCCCCCAGAGATATCCTAGTTCCAAGCAAACCCCATCAATGCCCAGCTATTTAAAGCATTCAGCCCTCTAGGACTGAACCAGTTGTCACAAAACCACTTACAGATTTCAGACTACTCAGAGCTCTATTACTCTGACTGAAGCAATGTTTGTTTTCAAAAAGATGACCACCATCGTGTATAAGATCAAAGAAACCATCAGTAGCTGATTCATGCAGTTACATACTGACATGAGTCATCATCATTGCCAGGCTTCGCAAATGAAGATTTGGGAAAGGCTCTATCCACATTTGTTACAAGCACGCTGGTGGCTAACGAGGCCAATGCGAGATAGACATATCCGATTGCAACAGAAAGACTCCTTAGGTGGTATATTCTGCAAGGCACCGTTCTTTCTGTGTTGTCTTTTCTCCTTGAGAGTGATCCTGCATGTCTTCTCAAAGGAAGCAGCAGCGTTATAGATGGTGTGTTTCCAGGCCTCCCGATTTGAGGTCACAGTATGAGTAACTACCTTGAAAAGTTCTGTCCTCTACTATCTTCACTAAACTATAGCACAGTATCCA